ATCTGGCACTACTGGTGTCATGTATTCTTTAGGCAAACATTTATCTCTTCAGGAGTTATTGATACATTTTGTACTATTAAATATTGCTCAGACACTGCCGGTGTCATGAGAGAAAATAACAATCGAATAAACAATGTAAAACAATTGTTTAAGCACACANGATATCAGTTGCTCCTCTCGGGGTCGTGGTTTTTTTTTCCCTTATTCAGAAGGGTTTTCCACGTAAAAATCTTGGTGTCATTGTTACTCTTTTATTCTTGTTAATTACCGTATCTCGGTGCTACATTATTATTCCGCTTTATTACCGTGAATATTATTTTGGTAAGGGGTTTATTCCCAACAGCTCATACTATGTAACCTTTCACGAATCCAGCTGCATCTTTTATTGATGGGATCCAGCGTGCCCGTCCTAGAAGTGTGTGAACAAGTCCGAACTCGCGTATTTTAAATTTGATACTATAGAAGTGTTTCGTTAGCTTCCTGTAGGTTAACGTGAGTATGAAATAGTATTCATTTAGGTCATACAAACCCACCAAATTCTATAGAAATTAAGGGAATTAACTAGATATTTTGTCCCAAAATGCTAAAGTACCTTCTATTTGGCGTCAAGTCTAACAGTAGTTCTGATAGTTCTGTCGTACGCAGCAAAAAAATTGAGCATTTTTGCCTTTTTTCTTTCAGGGGCTAAAGCATCCTAAAAAGGAATTTGTATTATACTGTATCAAAATCCCAATAAATCTAACTTCCTGCACTAAAATTCTTGTGCTTTTGAAGAAGCGGAATTTTTCCTCTTGGAAGTAGCTGAGAAAGGTGTAAAATACAAGGGTAATTAAATCAAACAGCTATCCTATCTTCTAGGTATTAATCTGAAAAGTTTTACTATCCACAATAAGTATTTTGCAGTTAGCTTTAGCAAAGGAACTGGTGGCTTTTCTTTAGCTGGTTGAGGATGCCATTCAAGAAGTACTTGACCTTTTTCAACAACTTCATGGATGTAAGGATACATGTTTATAACAGTCCTTAAATCGAAATCTTCATCAGTTTTGGAAGCATTTAACATGTTCTTACAGTTGGCAAGAAGTATAAGAATCGTAAGTTCCAACTAATTATAAGAAAAACGTTAACATTTTCTTACCAATTCAGTAAATGCAAAACTATTATAACTGGTAAGCGGCTCGATACCTGCCCATAGTCAGACACAATCAAGGAATTCCCTTGTGCAGCTATAAAAGCTAGATGAATATTGTACCTATTTTTCTCCTGAACAAGCTGGTTCTGTATTGCAAGAAGATAACTTTTGAAATAACATTCCCGTCGAGCAATGACTGATGAGTAATTTGGTGCTCACCAAAAAAAAGCATGTCTAAGGTCTAACTTAGGTGACGACAGATGAACATAGAAGTTTTTACTTGATATCACTTGAGCCATGAAATATAAAGAGAAAAGTTGTACTCAAAAACTTTTAAACTCATATCACAAAATTTAAATCTGGCAACGGTGAAGCATATGAATATTATTAATAATAGGAATATTTTACTCAAATTATACAGTTATAATCCATTAGAACGTAGGATAAAATAAAGAATTTGAAAGTAAGAGAAGGTGAGAAAATAAAAATAAAGAAGATATTGTTATGAAATAAAGACTATAAAGTAAAGACAAGTATAGAGAGAAACTGATATATTATTCGAATTCAAACTGATGTACATAATGAACTGAAATATCTTCTATTTATAAAAGAAAAGAAGCTGCTCTGTAAGCTGCTACTACAAACTGCTGTGTAAGCTGCTACTACAAGCTGCAGTGTAAGCTACTATAAGCTGCTGTGTAAGCTGCTACTACAAGCTGCTACAAGCTGCTGTGTAAGTTGCTGCTGTACCAGATATGGATAATCTTCTACCGGGGGTAATGTTTATCCATAACTGGGTACTGAAAAGATAAGCTTATTATACCCGGTATGGATAAACTTCTACTGGGGGTAATGTTTATCCATAACCGGGTACCGAAATGATAAGCTTCTTCAGGAAGCTTATTTCCAATATAGTACTAAATAGATAAACATATTTACGGTGGAGTCCCATATGGATAAGCTTCTTCAGGAAGCTTATTTACAACGGAGTACTAAATGAACATCCATAATATAATATATTTATAACACTCCCCCTTGGATGTTCATTAAAAGATAATGTGCATCATTAAAACCTTACTAGGAAAAACCACGTGGGAAAAAAAATCCCAGCGAAGGAAAAAGAGTACACATATTTAGTAAGACACATTGCTAGGTGCCTCATTAAAAACCTTATAAGGAAAACCCCATGGGAAAAACCTTAGTAAGGGAAAAAGAGTGCATCGCGTATTTTACTCCCCCTAATGAAAACCTTGTTTCAAATATTTGAGTCTCCGTATTCCAATCTTGTATACCATCTTCTCAAAAGTTGAAGTTGACAAAGATTCNTCAGGCCCTCATCAAGGTGATGACGTAGGAATATCATTGCTTTGGCACGATCTTGGTTTGATGCTTGATTTTTGTCTTTGATGGTGTCTGCCGGACCCATCGCATCAATATGAATTTCAGCATCAAGCACCCAAGACATGTAGCTTTTGCCCGATATATCCAGGGCTACAAATTCAAGTTTAGAAAGATTTGACATTATTTAGGAAAAGAAAGTTCTTACCTCAGATACTTTCAAAATATTTGCTCGAGATGGTAGAGCTTCGTGCTGATAACGTATTATGAAATAAAGACTATAAAGTAAAGACAAGTATAGAGAGAAACTGATATATTATTCGAATTCAAACTGATGTACATAATGAACTGAAATCTCTTCTATTTATACAAGAAAGGAAGCTGCTCTGTAAGCTGCTACTACAAGCTGCTGTGTAAGCTGCTACTACAAGCTGCTGTGTAAGCTGCTACACAAGCTGCAGTGTAAGCTACTATAAGTTGTTGTGTAAGCTGCTACTACAAGCTGCTGTGTAAGCTGCTGCTGTACCAGATATGGATAATCTTCTACTGAGAGCAATATTTATCCATAACAGAGTACTGAATGGAAAGCTTATTATACCCGATATGGATAATCTTCTACTGGGGGTAATGTTTATCCATAACTGGGTACTGAAAAGATAAGCTTATTATACTCGATATGGATAAACTTCTACTGGGGGTAATGTTTATCCATAACCGTGTACGAAGTGATAAGCTTCTTTAGGAAGCTTATTTCCAATATAGTACTAAATAGATAAACATATTTACGGTGGAGTCCCATATGGATAAACTTTCAAAAAGCTTATTTACAACGGAGTACTAAATGAACATCCATAATATAATATATTTATAACAGATATTAATATATATCCTCATAGTGGCGCCGTAAGAGAAGATATTAATAAAAATAGAGAAGGTGTCCTAAATCCTCATAGTGGCGCTGTAACATTTCGAAATCGCCCTTCAGTGGGCAAGCAAGTACCTGAACCTCCTCAAAGTGTGGCTTATTAATATTAATATATAAAGGTATTTAATTTGGCAACTGAGAATATTTCTATTTCTAAAAAGCCAGCAATTCGTAAAAGGGGAAAGAAAAAAATTGATTTGTGAGCCAATAGCGTAGATTACCAATGTTAGAGTTCTGAATTAAAAAACGTGCAAACAATTATTTCAGTAGACGAAGAGATTTATAAGATTACGTGTTCTCATTTTCATTTTAAATAGATATAGATAAAAGTGTAAGTTCCACAAATGTGGTGCCAATTTAAATAACTCAAGAGATTATAGACCGAATGGGAAAACTGAAATTTTATGAAAACGACGTCGCATAAGATAGCAATATATATTATGACCAATAGTACGACGGCGTAACAGAAGGGCCCTTTCGTCGGTCAGTAACGATCTAATTCCCACTGAATTTCATCATCAAATTCCTTCACAGGATTCGTGCGCATTTTGCCAGAGGGAAAAGCCTTAAAATTGGAATCGTATTCCCAACTTATCTGATTTTAGGTAGCCAATATGTTGATTTTTTTTTTTTGAGTTATTAGCAGTTTATATAGCAAGGGATTGTATATTATTTATTCTCTCCTACCCTTGTCAACATTATTGATGCATTTTTTATTTTTTTGTGTGTGTGTGTGTTTAGTTTCGACTCTGTTTTCCCCTGTTCTTCTGTGGTTATTGTTTTGTAGAAGCGTGCATTTTTCTTTTTTCTGGTTGTGGGATGTGCTAGGAATATATTTGTTTGCATGGATTCCCCTCAGCCATGAATTCGTTGAACTGTATATGGAAATTTCTGAAACTAAAATGTGCAACTGACCTGTACGTAAGTGACTCAAAAAATAATAACTTCCTTTCATTAATTCACAAGCTCCAATAATTTATTGGTGAAAAAGACAGACAGAACACAAAAATGGAGAAATGGCAGGGAACTCTTTTCAGCTTAAATATGTGATAATTGAGAAAGTAGGTACCCGATGGAACGATGGACACTGTCGTCACAAAAAAGAATGTTCTATTGCTTAAAGATGAGATATTGTTTCATTAAACAGCTTAAACATGTTGATTCACACTATTTCTCGCTGACCAGGCTAGTTTTAATTGATCCTGGCTATGGCTCTCCTGCAGTTCCGTGGTGATTTTCCATGTTATTAACTTGGTTTAAAGATACTGTAAAAGATTGGTTTTAGCCGGGCTGTGTTACAAGTTTGAAAATAGGATATAAAACAAAAGCAGGACCTTGTATTAATAGAATCATATTTTTGATTAATAGAATCATATTTTTTATCTTCCACTTTGGCCTATTTTGATTATCTGAGTTCTGAGCCATGATAACTGCAGGATGGGGGAGCTGATGGTAGAAAAACATGTGAAGTTCATTTTAGCAGTTGAGAAGGTACTCATCTTGTTTCATATCTACTGATTTTCCTCTGCCTTTCGCCCAGTATTACTTTTCGTCCAATAGACTCTCTGGTTTGATATCTAGAAATCTGAGCTTAGGCTGTTGCGCCACCCTGATCCAATCTGTCACTCAGATACCTGTGTGCTCAAAGCAAATAACTAGGCTCCTACAATGTGTTTAATACTTCCAACAAGTTAAGAGATACTCTTGAAGCCAGGAAAGTACACTGGACGGTTGGAACAGAGTTGTGAAGGAGAAACAGAATGGGGCATTGGCATTAGTACTTCTCATGATACCAATTCTACTCTACTTGCTAAAGTACGATATATTCTTCTTGAGCATCCTAATATCATTCAGTTTAGAGTACTTCAGACAAGTATTATTTGAACTTCCAAAATTATGGTTTTCATATTTGGAAGGGTATTATAGCCAACCTTAAAGAAGTGGTACATGGTGTTGTTTGAACATAAGGAATGGCTCTGGAATTTCCCTTTTTCTCTGGTAGATGGGATGGTTTTGCAGTCTTTCAGATATGATTGACTGCGGGATTGATCCTTGAGATTTATCCCTTACTGTTAGTGACATCCTGGATACCTGAAAATGTGGGATGTTGCAATGATTTATAATTATTTGAATGAGATTATTTGGAATTGCACTTCTACTGTTTTGGTTTCATCTTTGATCAGACGGAAGAATCTCACTTTGTGCAAGTGCTCCTTATATCTCCTCCCACTATTCTCACGCATGTCAGATGATTCCTTCGTACATATCCTTTATGGAATTTAAGTACCTGATATGAGTTCCTTTCTTTTCCAACCCACCAAAGCACTTTTCTTGTCACTCTATCATTTGCTTTCTCTAATACGTGCCTATATACCTTCAGAGGAAAGATGATTTTGAATCTGTGGTGATGGAGCATCTAAGATTAAATGGGGCATACTGGGGATTGACAACTCTGGATATCATGGGCAAGCTTGCTGCTGTGGAGCAAGATGAAGTTATTTCATGGGTCATGCAGTGCCAACACGAATCTGGTTTGTAGCTTGCACTTTTTTCTTTCTTTCTCGCATTGAATTTTTGTCAGTGTTTCAATGTTGCAGCTATACTGTGCCCACTGCTTTTTTTAATGGATGTTGTTTTTGTCTTTTCTTTTCCCTTGAGAGGGAGTCACTTCATGTTCTGATCTACTTGATCTGTATGTATAGGTTCACTTCTATATTTGTATAATATGCAGGTGGATTTGGTGGTAATATTGGACATGATCCGCACGTGCTGTATACACTTAGTGCTATTCAAGTCTTGGCGTTATTTGATAAAATACATGTTCTTGACATTGATAAGGTGTCGAGTTGTATCCTACTTCATGTCTTCTGACATTTACGACTGTTTTGGAGGTTCCATGTACATATCTTTTCGATCTATGTATAACATCTATGAACTCATGAACTCTGCTGCAATGCTAGCATTTACTCATTTTCCCATTTTAACATCACAAAACAAAAAACGTGGTCAAACTAACATAAAGAGTACTCATCACAAAAGGTGGCATTCTCGACATTGGCAGTGTGAAGTACTATTAAGAAATTTGGGTGTCGCTGTGGTGAGCTTAACTTTTCAGCCAGATATTGCAGCCCTGCAAAACGAAGATGGATCCTTTTCTGGTGACATATGGGGTGAAGTCGATACACGGTAGCAGCTTCACTTTGTTTGCTGTTTTAAATTTAGGATCCGTTATTTGATTTCTAGTTTTTAAAGTTACTTATAAGGCCAAGGTTTAAGCCATATCTTCTTTTGAGAAATGAAAATATAATGACCTGAATATACTTTGCGTAGGTTCTCTTACATTGCGATCCTTTCACTCGCATTGATGCATCAGTTAGATAAGGTTGATGTTGGAAAAGCAGTGAAATATATTTTAAGTTGCAAGAATGTGGATGGTGGATTTGGATGCACACCAGGAGCAGAATCTCATGCTGGGCAAAGTATGTCACATATAGAAATCATGCAATTTATCATACTTACAGTGGCTTCTGAACTGAAAAGCAAGTGAGATCGTCTATTCTACTGTAAAGTCTAACTCTATTGATTTTGGAGTTGGAAAACATCCACACAGACCTTTTATTTGCATTTACTGCTACTAAAGGGATCCATTCCCTGATTGTTCTAATTAATTCCTAAGATATCAAAGCCGGACTGCTTATTATCCACTGGTCCTCGAAGATTTCTCTGTTGTCAGAAAAAAATATCAGTGCCCGACTATCAGTTTAACCTGAGTTCATGATCTGGACATCATTTTATCATCAACCAAGACAAGAAGCACCCTCATAAACCGGGATTACTTGGCAAGAACCAAAAGGATAAATGATAAGTTAAAAGATAATGCCATACTGATGTTGAGTAGTACTCCAAGTTGTCAGCAGCTTTGACATATTCACGAGGGGATGGATCAGTTTGTGGGGCCTAGTTTGATGAACAGCTAATGGACATAATCTGAGAATGCTTTGGAGAAAAATCCATCCTTCCTTTGATTTCTTCTTTGTCTCACATGAAAGGAACAGGTTTTGCAGAATGAATGTGTTCCTTTGCTATGACAGTAATGGCATATCTGTTAGTGAAAAGCAGCATCTCTTCATTGGTTTTCAACCTCTATATTCCACTTAGTTCCATATTTCCAGCAGTCTTCTTAACATTTTGAGTTGCCTATTGCTGCATTACCGTAACACAATTTTGACTATGTTACCATTGCAGTTTTCTGTTGTGTGGCAGCTCTCGCAATTACAGGGTCTCTACATCATGTTGATAAGGACCTCCTTGGTTGGTGGTTATGTGAAAGACAAGTTAAATCTGGGGGTCTAAATGGGCGCCCAGAGAAGCTTCCTGATGTTTGTCACTCTTGCTCATTGAAATTTCTATTGACAAGTCACTTTTGAATTTTATTATTATTCATGTCATTTCCTCTCAGGTCTGCTATTCTTGGTGGGTTCTTTCCAGCTTAATTATGATTGACAGGGTCCATTGGATTGACAAGGGGAAGCTTGTAAAGTTTATTCTGGACTGTCAGGTTACATCTCAATATAACAACTCCCTTTCACTTGAAGCTTGGGACTATATTTTTTGTTTTAGTTGTCCTACATTTTTTTTAAGCATGAGTTTTATTCCTTTCACGGATGTAGGATAAGGAGAATGGTGGAATTTCAGATAGGCCAGATGATGCAGTTGATGTCTTCCATACTTACTTTGGAGTTGCTGGTAAGGGGCCGTATTGTGAAATGGCTAATGTGTATTTTTCTCTGATGATACCATGGTTCATCATTCAAAGTATAGTAAGTTCACATCATGTTTTGGGATGTAATCTCAGAAGTCTTTGTTTAGAAGACCTGAAGCTGATCCACAATAACATAGAGTCATAGATCTTTTTTACTGATTACATCTGCATGCTAAACCTAGATGAGATCCAAGCTAATGAGGATGTTCATAAATCATAACCTGCTGGTAGAGGTTTGGTATCTGATATCTAGTTTTAAGTTGTGTTTTCTGTGAAAGAGATTGCAATGCGCCTTTTGCATCAAGGTGATTCTAGAAGGTCCAGATTTATGTAAAAAACAAAAATAGTAGTCGCACATAGGACTGTTGGAAGATCTATCATCTTAACTGTGTAGTGTCCTCCGGTGTAAGTTGCTGCATTCCCAGTTTTATCCTTGAACAACTTTTTCATACTGTAGAGACATTCCTACACCAGTGGCCTTGCTCAACTCTTGGCCTTTCTAATATGCTGTTTATTGAAGTGATAAAACTATGTCAAGTAATGAAAACTAGAAGCAAAGTTAGGGATGTTCCATGAGACTAGATTGACGTTTGCTGACCCAATTGTGCTTACTTAATCTTTGGTTTTTCTGTAATGCAGGGCTTTCACTTCTTGAATATCCAGGAATAAAACCTATAGATCCTGCTTATGCGTTGCCTGTTGATATTGTAAACCGAGTTATCCTTGGCAGATAATATCTGGTTTTGCTCCGTTCTAGCTTATAACTGCCTTTTCCACGCAGTTCTCTGATATGAGATTATCAAAAACAATTTCTCTTGAAAAAGTGGTTTGTGTTATTAATGCTGCAGATTTTCATCACAATGGCTGAGCTCTGATTTATATGCTGTAAGCTGAGTAGATTAATCTATTTTCCTGGTCCTTGTGCAAAACAATGGCTGATCTAATCTTTTGGGGAATAGCAACCATGTAGTAGTTGTACTGACTTGTACAGATATATGTCATTAGATGAAATGGGCGCTCTTGAAGTGTACTCTTTTGGTGATGGGAGTCTTTTACGTGCAAAATTGAATAATGTTAGATGAAAGAACCTGCACCTCTATGGCTTTGCTTTTGGCAATATAATACAATGACTGCATGTTTATTTTCTGTTTGGTAACCTCTGTTAATATGCTTGTAGTAAAGCATTTCTCATGATTATAGTTCTTTTCCAGATCCTGATAAATCATGCATTGCGTTAAAAGAAAGGTTATCTGATATTTTCCTCAATAACCATATTTTCTGTTTCAACAATGGGATAAGAATCTTCAACATGAGAGTGTAATTTGAACCTCATACTAATCCTCCTTTTGCCCAAGCTAAGTCATTCACTATAGACGCGTGAAACATGTTTCAATATCATTATCAACTTGAAGCCATAACTTGCTATTGACGCGTTTAGCTTATTCTTGAATTTTGCGCATGCATAGTTAGATTATTGTTGGCTTGTAGTGATTTTTTTGAGGCTTTACTTTCTATTCTAATTTGATATATTTTGTGCTATTTTCGAACAAGACTTTTGGGTTGGTGATTGCGACCTCTAGCTTTCCGAAGAGAGAGGAGCATCAGATTACTTTTCAAAATGCTGGCGAAAACTCAGATTGACTATCTCCTCCTCAGGAGGTGTGACAGAGGGTTGTGCAAGGATTGTAAGGTGATTTCGAGTAAAATACTCGCGAGGCAACATAGGCTCTTGGTGATGGACGTTGGTATTATGTTAGAGAGGATGAGAAGGCCTGCTCGAGGAAGACCGAAAATCAGATTGGAAGCTTTAACTAAGGATAAAGCCCAAGAGTTGGAAGGACAGTTATAGGCTATGGGGGCTTGGAGGAGCAGTGGTAACGCGAGCACTATGTGGTCAGTGACAGCAAATTGTATAAGGGAGGCTGCGAGAGAGGTGTTAGGGGTCTCGACGGGGGTCTCTGGTGGGCACAAAGGAGACTGGTGGTGGAGTGAAGCGGTCCAAGGTAAAGTGGAAGCGAAGAAGGCGGCGTACCTGAAGTTAGTGGGGAGCATAGGTGAGGAGGAGAGGCGAGCGTGCATGGAGAGGTATAAGGCAGCTAGGAAGGAAGCTAAGATGGCGGTTGCGGAGGCTAAGACATTGGCTTATGGTCGTATATACGAGGAACTGGGGAAAAAGTGGGGAGAAGAAGTTATTCAGGCTGGCCAAATTGAGAGAGAGAAAGGCTCGAGATTTGGACCAAGTGAGATGCATCAAGGATGACGACGGTAGAGTATTGATGGAAGATGCCCAGATTAAGAGGAGATGTCAGACTTACTTTCATAAACTTCTGAATGAAGAAAGGGATCGAGATATTGTGCTAGGCGAATTGGAGCATTCCGAGAGTCATCGTGACTCTGGGTACTTCAGGCATATCAAGGTTAAGGAGGTCGTGGGAGCTATGTGTAAGATGAGTAGGGGCAGAGCGACTGGGTCAGACGAGATTCCGGTGAAATTTTGGAAGTGTGTGGGGAGAGCAAGTTTGGAGTGGTTGACTAGGTTGTTTAATGTTATTTTTAAGGCGAAGATGATGCCGGGTGAGTGGAGGTGGAATACGGTGGTCCCATTGTATAAGAACAAAGGTGATATCCAGAGTTATAACAATTATAGGGGTATCAAATTACTGAGTCATACCATGAAAGCGTGGCAGAGAGTGGTTAAAGCGAGGGTGAGGATGACAGTGTCTATATCCGACAACCAGTTTGGGTTCATGCCTGGTCGTTCTACTACATAAGCTATACATCTTATTAGGAGGTTGGTGGACCTGTACTGAGAGAGGAAGAACGATCTGCACATGGTGTTTATTGACCTAGAGAAAGCGTATGACAAGGTTCCTAGAGAAATTTTCTGGAGATGCTTGGAGGCAAAAGGGGTGTCGGTTCCCTACATTATGGCTATTAAGGATATGTATGATGGGGCTAAGATTCGGGTTAGGACAGTTGGAGGTGACTCTGACCATTTTTCGGTTGTAATGGGGTTACACCAAGGTTCTGCGCTCAGTCCGTTCTTATTCGCCCTGGTGATAGACGCGTTAACGCACCATATTCAAGGGGATGTGTCGTGGTGCATGCTATTCGTCGATGACATAGTTATGATTGATGAGTCGCGAGCCGGTGTTAACGGGAGGCTGGAGGTTTGGAGACAGGCTCTTGAGTCTAAGGGTTTCAAGCTGAGCAGGACGAAGACGGAATACCTGGAGTGTAAGTTCAGCGCTGAGCCGGGGGAAGTGGGCGTGGATGTGAGGCTTGAATCACATGCCATCTCAAGTAGAGGCAGCTTTAAGTACCTTGGGTTGGTTATCCATGGGGGAAGGGAGATCGACGCGGATGTCACACACCGTATTGGGGTAGGATGGATGAAGTGGATGTTAGCATCTGGAGTCCTATGTGACAAGAGAGTGCCACTGATACTCAAAAGTAAGTTCTATAAAGCGGTGATTAGACCAGCCATGATATATGGGGTTGAGTGTTGGCCTGTTAAGAACTCACATATCCCGAAGATGAAAGTAGCAGAAATGAGGATGTTGAGGTGGATGTGCGGGCACACTAGGATGAATAAGATTAAGAATGATGATATTCGGGAGAAGGTGTACGTGGCTCCTATTGATGACAAGATGCGGGAAGCGAGGCTCAGATGGTTCGGGCATGTTCAGAGGAGAAACCCAGATGCCCCGGTAAGGAGGTGTGAGCGGCTGGTTGTGGAGGGCACGAGAAGAGGTAGAGGGCGATCTAAGAAGTATTGGGGAGAGGTGATCAGACAGGATATGACGAGGCTTCAGATTTCCGAGGACATGACACTTGATAGGAAAATGTGGAGGTTTAGCATTAGGGTCGTAAGTTAGGAGGTAGTTGAGTCTTGCCTTACTTCGTACCTCTATGAGACTAGTCTGGTGGGATTTTTGTCTAAGATAACTATTGGCAATATTGTGTCTTACTATTACACTTTTCAATGCATGACATATTAATGTTGTTCCTATTTTTCCTATGATTTATGTGGTGATACTAATATTCTCTCCCTTTTATTTTTCTGTTTTCTTGAGCCGAGGGTCTTTCGGAAACAACCTCTCTACTTCTTCGGGGTAGGGGTAAAGTCTGCGTACTCACTACCCTCCTCAGACCCCACTAGTGGGATTTTACTGGGTGGTTGTTGTTGTTGTTGTAACCTTAATTATTAAATGTATTTCTACTGCCATTGAGAGGAAGGAGGCATGTAAAAATTTGCAAATGCCGCAAGGTAGTAGGGAAAGTCATCCTTTGAGTGAGTGTTTCAAGTAAAGTAACTTTCTGTCCATTGCATTTGTGTTGGTTTACAGACCAAAATCAATAAATACATGATATTGCATTTGTGTTAGTTAAAAAGGGGGCGAGACACTACTGAAAGGGGAAACAAATTCTATAAAGGAATGGTCACAGGCTAATCATCGATGAAACGGATTCGATGCTCCTTGCATCTTTTGTAGCAAGTGATGGGAACATACCACCCAGGGTGTGGTGAGATGGATAGGATCCCTTCGTTTTTAATCAGAGGTTTCGTGTTTAAGCTTGAGAATGATATTTTTTTTGGAAGAGAATTTTTCCCTTAATGAGCATTACGCGACGCAAATCTAAATTAGTCGCGGCCACACCTCACGGGACACATTGTCAAGAAAAGTCAAATGACCAATGAACATGAATAGATGGCAACTACCGCCTTTAGAATCAACAATGAGAAGCCTAACACCTTCTTCTATGAACCATAACGACAACTTCTATTTACTTGTCTCTTATACTTTGAATTTCACATTAAATATAGGAAGTCATACTAGTTCAAATTTATGGTTTTTGATATGCCAGACTCGATTATAGCATGAAAAAGCAGGGTCTCCCCTCCTCCAAAAGTATTCTTTTGCCACATTTGATAATCAATAAAGGGAAAATTTCACATAAGAACAATTTGGCTCCTTACTTTTTAATTTTATAGTCCATATTTCAATTTACAAATTAACTAGCCCAAAAATAATAGGCTAATATTCAATATTCATCTCCGATAAGTTCTCAAAATTACTATTTAATTTTTAAAAAAGATTCCTCAAGCTTTTAAATTAACTTTCGAATCAGTAATTGTGACTCAAATATTAGTTTAACAAACCAAATCCATTTGGGTGGTGAAAATTAAATTTTTAACAAGCTTAAATATATGTGTCTAAATTCCAAATTTGATTTTATGATAAATTTGGAGTGAGTGTTATTTAAACCTGTTAGAAATAGTATAAGGAGATTGTATGTAAAATTTGAATTCATTTAATGGAGATTTGGACTGGTTTTGAACAAGAATTACAACTGAAAATCGTGGAAGAAGTTCGTCTACAAACGCTTGTATAAAGGTGTATAAAGTGTATAATAGTGCATAAGTGATGTTTATACACTCATATACACTATTATACAAGATTATACATAATTACACAAAAAACTGACTTCGTCTTCTTTCTTGCGTCTTTTCTGAAATGTAACTCAAATCTTGCTCAAATCTACTCCGAATCACTTCAAATTTAAATTTTGAACTCCTTTTGATATTTTCAATCAATTGGAACAACATCCAATCCAAACAACTAACAAACTAAAAAACCCATTTTCAAAAGCAAAGCTTTGAATGGTCTTCAATGGTGGACTTTTACTCTTCAATTTTCTTACATTGCAACCAGGTGATACAAGAGGAGAAACAAAAAATATACGGCCCTTTGAAGCATATGTAGAAGATGTGAGAAAAAGAGAGAGTGAAGGTAATGGTTGTGAGAACACAAATTTAACTCCACAGCTTTTAGAAGCAATGATTGTAAGAACAAAAAAATTGAATTTGCTAGCGCTTTCAAAATATATCCAATATGGGCTAGGTCGGGTAAAACTTAAAAACATGGGTCATTTTTTGTTATGGGGTGAAGTCATGTGTATTTTCTTATAATTCTTTCATCAATAAATGTGGTTCGTTCTGACATGAATTGAGCTTTAATGAAGCAACGAGTATTCATATAGCCAACTCTAACTAGTTTGGAAATGAGATATAATTATTGCAATAAATCTGGTTCATTTGAGTTAACAAGAAAAAAAGTCTGGTCGCGCCTTATTATGCGGCGGCAATGGAAGTTCTAAACCCTTCGTAGCCAATAAATTGAAGTCAAAAAATAGCAATTCCAAATCGAGAATTAGCTAAATTTTAGGTACATAACTTTAGTAATATAATGACTTGGTCACTACTAATAACGAAAATTAGGGAATATTCTAGACACTTGGTTAAACGAAGAATAGATTCAAAAATAGCAAGTAGTTAAACAAATAAGTACTTTTGAATTGAATTATTAAGATTTTGTAACTGCCTGAAAATACGGTTCCTAAATAAAATAGCAGTTACATTCATTCCCCTATATATATTCACTTAATGCCTTCTTCATCATCACAAATTCATAACAGAAAATAATTATTAGGCATTTTCCTTCTGAATTTGAGAGATCAAAGAACCCATGGCTTATTCCAAATCAATTATTCCTTCCTCTTTTATTGTAATTTTTTCATGGGTTTTTGTGGGTTTATCCCATGGTATTGAACTTGATAAAAATTTATTAGGAGCATTATTTGCTGATAATGGTGGTATTTTAGATATGCCATGTGTTCAAAAATTGATGCCATGTCAAGTTGCTTTGACATCACATTCCAAAAATCCACCAGCAACTTGTTGTGTGCCATTGAAGGAAATTATTACGAGTGATGCGCAATGTCTTTGTACTGTATTTGATAATGCTGATTTAATGAAGAGTTTTAATGTTACCAAAGATGAAGCTTTGAGTTTTGCAAAAGCTTGTGGTGCTAAACCTGATCTTTCCCTTTGCAAAAATGGTACGTAACAACTTTATTTCTGAATCGAGTTTTGTATGGATGCATGCTTTTTTCTTTTCTTTTTACCTTAGTGAATGCTGACATAGTTGACGGAATCTTGGAGCGACGATAAAATTGCCTTCATGTGACCTTTTCGAGCCGTCGAAGGAGCGACGATAAAATTGTCTCCATGTGACCTATAGGCTACGGTTTCAAGCCGTAGAAACAGTCACTAATGCTTGTATTATGGTAGACTGTCTACATCACATCTATTTGGATGTGACCCTTTCCTAGACACTGCGTGAATACGGGATGCTTTGTGCACCGGATGAATGCTTTTGTAGAATATATATATAATTTGAACATAATGGAGAGAGTGGTTTTTAATAATGTAGTAAAACACTATGGATGAATGATCTATTGTTAATCAAATAGATTTTGATGCCTGATCTTGTTAAATCAATGTCCAGTAATATAATGAGAGTATAAGTACTTTTTCCGCTAATTTGCTAAATTTATTTTATATAGTCATTATTGAATCTCATTTTTGATTTAAGTAATTCTTTTCTTTTAGATATTTGATCTTTAAAACAATTATTCATTGCATAGGAGACACTAACTTCATTGATCATGACTAACATTGTTTTGCACTATTAATTTTTCTGGCAACTAATTAACCTGAGTTTTATCTCCATTATAGCCACTGCTTCACCTGGTTCAGCCCCATCTATTCCTTCAGCCTCTAACAGTAAGTACTCTCAACGCTTTCCTTTACCAAATACACCGACTGTTTATTACTTCAGCACGCACTTGATTCTTATCAGCTACTTTCAATAAGTTAAATTACACGGCCTCTAATATGTTAAAATATATATATTTTCAGATTCGTCTTCAAGTAACAAGACTGCAAGTCCACCAACAGCAAATGCAGCTACTGTGACTTCCAAATTTGGAGGGTTTGTTGCCGTTGCATCGTTTATGAGTTTAGTAATGTCAGCATTTTAAGGATGGAGCACAACACACTGTTCTGGAATTGAAAGGCTGATTTGCTTATTGGGAAAGCCAGTGCCTCAGAATCATTTACATAACCTAAAAAATTTCCAATTTATAATGACTGATTTGTGTGATGTTTAGTAGTCGTGTTTGGATTTGGTTTTTTTATGATTGATAACAATACATTCATTCAAATCTATTATATTTAAGTTTAGGCATAACATTCCCTTTGAGCTAACGTTATCTACTTGCAAATTTGTTGTGAAAGTGGGATAATGTGATTCTCAAATAACACCAAAAAAAGGGCAGCCTGTTGCATTAAGCTTCCGCTATGGCAAGGTCCGTAGAAGGGCCGAACCACAAGGGTTTATTGTATGCAGCATTACCCTGCATTTTTGCAAGAGGCTGTTTCCACCGCTCGAACCCGTAACCTCCTGGTCACATCGCAACAACTTTACCAGTTACCAAGATTCCCCTTCAAATAACACCAAATAAAAGTCAAAATTGCGGTGTTAAATTCACTGCACACCATTCTTGAACCTACTATATTCGTCAGTCAATCTACAGACCTTCTAACTTGCTAAAAATAGAACAAGACCAACTAAAATCAAAACATAGTACTATTGAATATCAATCTACAGCCCCTCCAACCTGCTAAAAATAGAACAAGACCAATTAAAAACAATACTTACTACTACTTAGTAACAAAGTTGATGACTATGATGGCAGAAAATTCATGGCAAACCAATCTTGACAGTTGAAAGTATCTATAAATCATAACACTCAGTCCCTCTCTTGCCACCTTTCACGTGGCTCGCTTACATCAATTTTGTCACCAATTTTGGAAATTAATGAGTGACTATTTTCTTATCAGTTCCACATAATATTGGAGGCTTCCAAAAAAAAAATGAGAAAAAGTATACTAGCTTTCCTCATCAAGCATTCCCTTATATAAACATGAAGCATGTATCTCCATAATATAATATACGATCCTTTCCTATCTGAAATGGAGGCAAAACATTTATCTTCCATCTTCATTTCAGTCTTGATATTCGTATCCTTCATCTTTCGTTTAGTTCAGATATGGAAGGCATCAAAAACCTTTAACAAAATATTGCCTCCAGGGCCATGGAGTCCACCTTTGATTGGGAACTTGCACCTATTTATGAATGGCCGCCTTCCAGTACATCATACTCTCAGAAGTCTATCGCGAAGATACGGGCCAATCTTTCACTTACGTCTTGGAGAAATATCGATCATTGTTGTATCTTCACCTGAGATGGCAAAAGAAATTATGAAAACTCAAGACCTTCGCTTTGCTACTAGGCCTGAATTTATGGCCGGAGATATTATTTTCTACAACTACACAGACATTATAACTTGTCCATATGGTGATCACTGGAGAAATATGCGCAAAGTGTGCATCGTGGAACTTCTTAGCGCAAAGATGGTCAAGTCATTTAATTCAATTCGACAAGCACAGATGTCAAGTCTCATTTCATCCGTTAACTCCATGCCTGATGACTCATTGATTAACTTATCAGACAAAATGTTTTGGTTTACAAGTTCAGTAACTTGTAGGTCAGCTTTCGGGAAAGTGATTCATGATCAAGATAAGTTGATAATGTTGGTGAAGGACATATCATCATTAGCTGCAGGATTTGACTTGGCTGATATGTTCCCTTCCCGAAAATGGCTTCACAAGATTACTGGATTGAAGTCCAAAATGTTGAAGGTTCACAAAAAGGTAGATGCAATTTTGGAGAATATCCTTAATGAGCATCAGGAAAGTCGAGCTAACGGAAAGAAGAGCAATGGTGAGACTGGAGGTGAAGATTTGATCGATGTTCTACTTCGAGTCATGGAGAGTGGCGAATTGGGAACTCCAATCACAAATGAGAATATCAAAAGTGTTATTTTTGTAAGTCTAATACCATATGAGATATTTCATTTTGTTTTCTTTTTTCATTTTATTATTTATAGTATTTAAACATTGAAGTTAATATTTATGCTAGAGTACAATATTGAAACGTTAGCCTTTACATGCAGGACATGTTCTTAGCAGGAGCTGAAACCTCAGCTACAACAATTATTTGGGCTTTGGCTGAAATGATAAGAAATCCAAGTGTTATGGCTAAAGCACAACTTGAAGTTAGAGAAGTCCTAAAAGGAAAGAGAACATTTGAGGATATTGATCTAGAAGAGTTGAAGTATCTAAACCTAGTGATTAAAGAAACATTAAGGTTGCACCCTCCTGTTCCTCTATTAATCCCAAGGGAATGCAGAGAAGAAACAAAAATTGACAAATATATAATACCCATCAAAACTAGAGTTCTGGTGAATGTATGGGCAATTGGAAGAGAATCTACAAATTGGCATAATCCGGAAAGTTTTATACCTGAGAGATTTGAGAATAATTCTATTGATTTCAGAGGAAACCACTTTGAATTTATTCCGTTTGGTGCAGGAAGAAGAATGTGTCCGGGACTGTTATTTGGTTTAGTTAATGTCGGACATCCTTTAGCTCAACTGCTTTATCACTTCGACTGGAAGACTCCTCATGGAATTGCTCCAGACAATTTAAATATGACCGAAACAATTGGGGTAGCTGGCGGAAGAAAGGATGATCTTTGTTTAATTGCTACTCCTTTTGGTCTCTCTTAACAACAGATATAGACATAAGAACTCTGTTAGAAAAAATTGCAAATTTCACCTATTACGACCTGTTATCATCCAGTGATGAATAAGAAGATAATGGTTTTTATTTTAAAGTAACTTGTTTATCCATCTTTTAGTGGTATATCCATATTATGTTACATGTGAGCGGCAAAAAATGGCAAATATGTCAAAATTTAAACTTTTCGCAATAATACTTCTTTCAGGTTTTTCTTTTCTCATTGCATCTATGAGATCTATAAATCACAAAACTACGTTGACATATTTATTATTTGTGGTCCCAGAATGTTAGGCATTTTAGTAGATTTCAGATTCTTCTCATTCTTTATCTACTTTTTTCAAATTGTTTTGCTATAATTATTATCCACAAATCAGCCATTCCTGTAGGTTCTTTCAACTACATTAGATCATCTTTCTAATTGGTTTAATTTATTTCTCGGGGCAAGGGTCTAGGGTTATTACCTTTCTATTGAAAAATCAAATGCGGATGGCCAGTGGCCCAAAGAAACGAAAGAATCGTATCATTTTCCTGAGCAACCGAAACTGCTAATAGAACAATACATGTACACATGAATAGGGCGGATATAAGGGGAACTTAGAGCTTCACGTGAACCAAGTAGCTTTTTCTAGACCCAGTATATATATATTAAGAAATTCACCAAATATCAGTATATATATTTGATCATGAACCCAGTTATTATTGTATATTAACTTGAAATTGTTATAGGAACCCGTAAACTCAAAATTTTGGGTTCGCCTCTGCACATGAATTAAATCTACTCATGGACCCACCAAACTATTCACTTTTTGAGTTCCCATTCATCTTAATTAAACTATGAATTCTATATTAAAAATAATCAAGAAAAGTTCATCCTACCAGAAACAAGAATATAACCACCCAGTACTATTATAATTACTGTTTTGAAGTGGGCAAAAAACCTTCTTCTTCTATAACCAAAGTTGAGCAGAGAAAACCTAAATCAAAAGCACATGCAAAAACTACTGAAATTCAGAGATTAGGAAAACATAATCAAAAACCCAATTTGATCTTTCAACAGATTAGGAAGGAGAGGACGAAGAGCTACAAAGTACTTTACCAAGGTGAATCTCGCAAAATCGCACCGATAAATTACTTTAAAACAACGAAAATTCTAGTGAAGTACTCATATATGTTCGTAGTAGTACAAAAGACAATGGTAGATTAGAAGGAGTAAGAGATCTTGCCATTTCATCAGGAGAGAGAAAGTTTTCTTCTCTGAACCCTAAATCGCCAAAATGGAGGAAAGAGCGCGAGAAAGAAAGTTTTGTAACAAGAGAGAAAAATAGAGAGGGAAAGGCGATTACGTGATTAGCATTGTGTCATAAAATAAAAGTAAGGAAGTAAAATGTAAATAAGAAAGAGATAGAAAGAATGGAGAAGTGTTTTCTTTTTTTACTTTGGTGTATTTTTTTATTGCAATTATATGACCTTTTTATAGGCATAAAAAGTAAAGATGATGGACATAAAGTAGGAAATTTAATCTTTAAGTTATTCACAACATGAACATCTAATGTAGTATCCAAAGTAGTATCTAATGTACAAATTATTCATAACACTCCCCCTTGGATGTCCATGTAAGATAATGTGGCTCATTAAAAACTTACAAAAAAATATTGGGATGCACATAGTTATTTATAATATGCATTGCTTGCTGCCTCATTAAAAACCTTACCAGGAAAACTTAGTGGGACAAAACCTTGGTTAAGGAAAAGAGTGCAGTGTGTAGTTACTCCCCCGATGAAAAATCACTTAATGTCTCGAAGACGACGCATTCCAATCTTAT